ATAGCATCTGAGAGGAATGAGTAATCACCACGGCCTCCCCTGCCCTTTTCATCGGAGCCCTGTCACATGTGGGAATGCAGAGTTACCTACATTCTTCGCTTTTGCTTCTCATCGTCAGGATGTCATCCCAGGAACTGGGCCACCCAGCCTTCACCACCTTTACCTCCTGCATCCAGCATTCCCCTCTGTCCTTCTGGATCTGGCCAATGCCACGGGCACAGTGACGGCTTCCGAGGGTAAGTCCTAGTGATGGTAGGGGCTGCGTACAGATGAGGGGAGAAGGTGCGCTGGCTGTGTGTGTGAGGGTACCCTTGTCTCACCGAGGGAGGGACGTGTGCCTTCAAACAGCAGCAGGGGGGTGGGGACGTTGAGCCCTTCCCATGCATCCTACAGAATCCTCTGACTGGATCTGAGTTGTTTTTCGATATTAGCGTAAAACGTTATTCAGTGGGCATTAAATAGTGGTAATTAGGAATTGAGACCCTTTTTATTACAACACCTGTTTTAAGGATAAGAGACAAGTGCTGGCGAGGCAGATAGCTTCTGTGACCGTGTACTGACAGTCTAGGAAGTCTCAGAAGTTCTAGTCCGCTGTGCTCACTTTTCGTCCAGTTGTCACCCCAGTTGGCATATCCTTGTTTCCTGATTTGGGGCTTTCTTAGAAACAGCTTCAGAAAAGGAAAGGTCTAAAGACCGAGGGGAATGTGCTGCTTGGCCGGCATCCTGTCATTCCCTACCACGCACCCACTGTCTAGCTCGGTGCCAGGCATTTATTAGGTGCTCAGTAAACTTCGTGTATGAATTAACGAGTAAATGAATGAGTGAAGCTAGTTGCTAAGTCAAGCCACTCTCCTGTTAGCAGAAATTTTCTGTCCTCGTTAATTGCTCTTGTTTTTGTCCTTCCTCAGTTGGAATTAACGACCTCTGGAAAGATGCCTTTTATGTTACCAGGACAACAGGGCCAAGCTCTGAAGGCCATCCAGCACCCCTGGTGGTTAGCAAGCTTAGTCTACGGTGGGCACTGATGGAAGGCCAGGTGGTGCAGCTCGAGGACACCACCCCCAAAATCGGCCGTGGGGAGCTTCGAAGATTCCTCTCTAGGATAAAGTTTGTTGATCCTCCCCACCGGGTGAATCTCTTCTGAAAGATATATTTGATTACTACTAAGGGTTTGGGGCAAAGGCTACCAACTCCAGCTTTGTTCTCTAGAAAGTAGCGGGGAGTAGGAACCTTCTTGATTAGCTGGGTGTCAAGAACCGGTTGTTCGAGAGCAGCTCTATTTTCTTAGGGCGCTTTATGACCATTCAGAAATGGTACTCAGTTGTTTTTAGCTGGGAATGGTACCATCGCCCTTAGGGGACACTTGGAAATGTGGGGTCATGGTGTCTATTATCTCAGTGACTGAGGGGGTGGATACGACCGGTATTTTCTGGGGAGGGGCTAGTGATGCTAACATCGTGCAACACTTGTGAAAGTTACATACTCCAAAGGATTATCTTGCTCAAGATGCTAACCTCCCAGCCCTCAAGTACTGTGGTCTAGTTCAATGTTCAAGAGTTTGTCATGGAAAAAACAAAGTTCCTGGATCTTTCTGGAAGGACTTACGAACTATCAGGGCTAGACAAAAGGACGGAAGAGTAGAGAAATAGCCTGACCTTTGGGTTTCCTCCATTTCTCTGTCATGAAAAGAATGAAAGTCACTGATACCTGCACTCTTGCCCCTAGATATAGTCTGAGGAATCTTCCATCTCAGAAGAAGTGAACGGAGTGGTACCATCTCTCTCCCAGCAGCATCACGTCAGTTCTTTGGAGAGAAGGAAGACTTCAACCTCACTTCACCGGCTCTGCGTGATTGTCACAAAGCACTTTGAGGGCGCATTCTCGGATGACAGCACCATCCGTTTGGCTGGGGTGTCTGACCTACCTTCCCAGTCCCTGCATTAACCCCCTCTAGGCACTCCACGGATAGTTTGGAAATGTGACTCTTAACGGTGTATTTTTTGTGTGTCTAATTTATAAACTCCTGCTGGGAAATTCCGGTGAGGTTCTTCCCTGGAACATTTTGTTTTGCGTTATGCCACCGGTGTGTAGGTGTTGGTATTGGGATGACATAGTTTCTCGATCTGTTCTAAGCTCTAGGGGCCCAGTTTCTTGTCCTTCTGAGATAACACTCGGCTTGTTTGAGACTTAGGACTTCCAGTGCCCTGCCTCTGATCGGGGCCACTGGTCCTTCCCCTCCGTGTTCTCTCACTGCCTGTACCTTGGCTTCTTCCCACCCTAGTGGCAGGGAGACACAGACAGTGGGAGGCTGAGGGAGCCATCCTTGCGTTCCCTTCTTTTACCTTCCATAGCCTCCCGCCTCCCGAACTTTCCATCTCTACACACTTGGTGACCATGAGCACCACCACGTTCCTGTTGGGAAGGGAGCAAGAGCATCAGAGTTTGTGAGCAGCCTCTGTGGGGTCCGTGTGGCATTGCGGGGCCCCGATTGGCCTGGCCAGCATGGCCTTTTCCCCGCAGTAACTTCTGAAGCGCTCGTGTGCGTGCTGCCCTGGCTCTGTGAAGTCAGGAACCGTTCAGCCAGGTAGCTTCTCCCGGCCTCATCTCCACTCTGCTCTCTTGGTCTCCTGGCATCTCCTGTGGGCTGTCCTCCATCGTGCCTCTCATTTGCCCTCTTTTATTCAGAGGCATTTTTGCTTTGCTTGCATGAGAGCAAAGCTGTTTCTGGATTTTTATTCTTGCTCCTTGAGGCCCATATGCAGCCATTTTGCCTGCACATCTGCTTCCTTGTAGAGCCTTGGAAAACACTGTACTTTGAGAAAATTCCTATGTAAGTTCTCTAACTTTTATAATTGGTTAAGTTCTTTAGAATTATCTCCAGTGCTTACTTCTCCCTTCTTCCATAAATGTTTCTTCTAATAAGTTCTCTCCTAAACTTCTAGGTCGTTGTTTTTATAGCAGAAAAATCCCACGTTAGCTGGTGGAGAACTGCTTTTCTTCTTGAATAATTTTGATAGGTCTTACCCGAGTGCAACTCAGGTTCTGTCTTTACTTGGGCTTGTATCTTTTTAGCTTGTATTAATAAAGGGAGTCCAGAAAAATTTAGAGATTACAGAAATGTAGGGATCCCAGATTTGAAGGGATGTGTATTACTTGCCCAATGGTAGGCATTGTGACATAACATATTGGTAGCAATTGCAGATTGGCCTGCCAGGTGTCAGGGCACCCCCTTGCCTTAAGATCCTGAAAGCAAATTTGGTTTCAACACTTTGGGAAACTTTGTAAACTTGGGGGAACAATTAGAGGATACCCCAGAGAATAGGGATGATTTTAGATTCACTTTTAGAGTTTGAATCTGCTTGGGTAGAAGAGCCTAGGATCTTGTTTAGCCTAGTAGAGGATTCTAAGGACTAATTTATAGTTGACTGAAGAGCTAAAACTTGACTTGCGGTCCTGTGGCCTGGGCTGAGCCATCTACGTCTCACCCTCGTTCTTCACCATGTTGAGGCTTTCTGGGAAAGCCACTTTACGTAGAGGAGTAAAATGCGAAGTCGTTTACCAAGGGCCTGGTCTTGTGGGGGGTGGGGGTATCTTTTTGGGTAGAAGATGGTGTTTATACCGGGTGAGTCCCAGAAATGAGAGGAAGCTAAGAAGAGCATCATCAGTCCCTAAATTCTTCATGGTGTGTTTACAAACTAACTTAACATAGATTGTTTTGACTCTGAGAAGTTTGAATCCATTTTTGCCAGACACGGGACAGGCTCTAGGTTTCTCCTCCCTCCTGCAGCCAGGGCGGAGGGTTGGAATGGTGGCCGAGGATTGTGTGGAAGCTTCATCTGTCCAGCGTGGGTGCTAGCCTGTCAGGTGTGTCCCGACACTCCCTTCTCCTTGTAGGCACCCGCCAGCCGGACCTCTAAGATAGGAAGAGCTCCTTCCTTCCCCCACTCAAGCAAGGCCAGTGTGACTGCCACTTAGGGATAGCAGTGACTCGCGCAGGTATAAGGATCTTCCTTCTCCCAAGCTCTCCTCCGTGCTATCCTTAGAGCCCCTTGCACCCTAGACAGCATCCCCCCACCCCCCAGATGCTCTCCACGCCCCCTCCCAGTCGGGGATGCTGATACCAACCCCCTTGAATGTGAATCGCTACTTTTATTGTCCATACTACAGAAGAGCCAGCTGGTATATTGTCAGGAAGCACTATTTAAAATGTGAATTGTTGGAGAACAAATAAATACTATGTATAGGAAACACACTTGTGTGCCATTCTCATTCTTCTTAGCCATCGCCATGGTTTGTTTTCCCTTATGGAAAAGAGGAAGAACAGGTGGGTGGGTGAGTTGGGGATCCAGAGGGGAGTGTATGCCGTGGCCTTGTCCACTGCGGAAGTGTCCCTTACCATAAATCCCCTACGAATAACTACAGTGGACCATTTCTGGAAGTGGGCCTGTCCCTGCATGCTGTGGGGGCCTTCTCGTGTATACTAGTCCCCTGGTGGCTTCTAGATTAATATTTAAACTTCCATTGGGTCCCTACCATGTGGGTGTGGGACACTGTGATAGGCAGTGTGGAGGACATCTGTCCTACATGCCCAAGGTCCCAGGAAGGCCTCTTTGTCTTTCATCCTATGACTTCCAGGAAAAGTCAAGTGCACCAGGGAAGGCTGAGCCACCATGGACGACTGTTGAGTTGCCTGCCTGCATCCCTCCAAATCCCAGATAGAGGGCCAGATGGAGAAGCCCCTAAAGGGCAGGAACTGGATTTTACTTCTCTTTTTCATCTCCGCTGCTGAGCCCGGAGCCTGGCACATAACAAGCCATCAGTAAAGCAGAGAGGGTGATTCTGAACACGGGAGAGGGGTGTGGTGAAACGAGACATGGGAAGGGAAGGAAAGCGCTGGGAAGGAAGAGGGGCAGTGGTGCCCTGGCATGCACCCCTTTGGACCTGCACTTTAGATACACTTGTCCCGAACCTGTGAAAACCATGCTCAAGAAACAGACTCTGGCTTCAGTACCTGTTGATAGCAAATGAACATGGAAGGTTGGGTTCCGCCTGCCCTCTAAATCTGACTACTAACACAGTTCTTCCTCTACGGATGACCCAGCCACCTCTTCCTTTAGCCTCTGGCTGGGTTCTTGCTGAAATCCCTTGTGGTGTAGCCCCGAGTAGAAGTCAACTCCTTCAGAGACTGAGTGGACGGGCCGAGGGTGGCGCTGGTGGTAGCTGGTCAGAGGACCCCCCGTGGGGGCTGCACAGGACAGCTGCTCAAGGAAGCACTGGTGATGGTGCGGCGGGCAACTCAGCTTTCCTTTGAAGCTCCTACTGTGCTTGCACTTGAACTGCAGCACCAGCTGGGTGTATGTGTTGAAGGTGGTGACCGCCGATGCCATGCAGCAGGTGAAGGAAAGCCAGGCCGTGCTAGGGATGGACAGAAAAAAAATGGGATGGTCAGAATCTGACCTACGTACAGGCTTGAGAGAAAAATACGATCCCTTCCTACTAGTAGACTAGGCTGATGCCCCTTAGGGATTGAGGGACCGGCATGTGTTCCCTTCCGCCGTGCTGCGGGGAAAGCACTGTGGGCCAGAGGCCTGAATTTGGTCTGGCTCTGTAGGGTGTGTTCTGAATGGTTTGTAGTCAAAGAGAATGACTCTTGTAGTGTTGCACGTCAGACCAGGAGTTTAACAGACTGGGTTTCACTGGATCGATTAGCTGTCAGAGCTGTGCGCTTTTATTCCTGGTGTGCCTTTGCTGCGTACATAGAACATGCACACACTCACACGCAACTTTCTGGACTATGGTTTCCCCACCTGCAGTTACCCTTGTGATCTCCCAAGATTCACAGACCGATAGCTCAGCTGTAGAGAGTGGACATAGCCCAATGCAGCACCCCACACCCCCCACGCCCCCCCACGTCCCCACGCCCCCCAC